CCTCTGCCGCGGTTGGCCCGGCCCCCCCGCCGCGCACAGCCACCCCAGCCCGGCCCTGCCAGCCCCACTCGGGTCCTTCACCCCGAGCCCTGGCGATGTGGCTGGGCTCCCCGGCAGCACCGTGGCCGCCCACCGCCCTCCCGCGGCACCCCTGGGCCAGGCCTGGCTCCGCACCCGGCACTGGGCACAGCCGGGGCCGCAGCGTGGCCCTCTGCCAGCGTCAACGGGCAGGGACGCCCCGCAGCCCCTGCCTCCCTGCTGGGACTGTACCCAGAGACCTCATGGAGAGGGTCCCGGGGGGCACCCAAGGGTGCCTTACAGCCACCCTCATAGGCTCCCCACTGCATCTAAAGATCATACGGTAACATGCTCAGGACACACAGACGCTATAGGAACAGAGACCTTGTGCAACCCAGCTCCCACCCACAAACCGTATGGGGCCGCTGCTGCAGACTATAGAGCTGCCAGCAGCACCCACGGACTCGGTGGAGCCTCAGCGGCGCTGCGGTGGTCCACAGGACCCCAGGTGCTGATGGGCACGGCCTGGAGGGCTGGGCAGGACCCCGGGTGCAGGCAGGGCACGTGGGCAGGCACGGGGGGCTCTGCGTGGGCAGGCAGCCAGGCCGTCCGGTGGGCAGAGGCTGGGAGGGGGTGCCTGGTGTGCCCCCGCTCTAGCCAAGCACTGCTCACCCTGACAGGGCTCTGTGGGGTCTTGCCAGGATGCTGGCTGGGACCTGTGCCCCACAGCAAACCTCGTCCCGTGCTTCCATTGCTTCACGGCCTCCCCCAGCCCGGTCCCCCCACTGCTCCAGCTACGGCCCCCCCCCAGCCAACACCGGCCGCCCGCAGCCCATCGTAGCCTCCTCCCCTCGGTACCACACCCAAGAGGGGGTCCCCGTCCCACCTTGCAGACAGGGCAACACCTATCTACAAAGGGGAGTGACCCAGGGGTGCTGGGGGAGGGCTCCCCACTCCACGTTCACATGATGTCATCCAGGAGGTTGGGGCTGGCCACCCAGTCGAGGGTGCGGGGCTCGGAGGCTGCCATGATCATGCACATGAACTGTTTGCCTGTCCTCTTGTCGATGGGGTAGATGGTGGTGGGGGTGAAGCGCTTGTTGCTCTCCACAAAGTCGCAGAGCTGCTCATAGACGGCGGGGAACTCATGCCGCAGGAAGACGCCACGGATGCGCAGCTCCCGCTGGATGTTGATGAAGCAGACCTCCCGTGCCTTGCGGCCCTCCTCCCCCTCCTTGTCAATGTCTGCTGTGCCGGGTGGGGGTGTCAGGATCAACGTCTCCATGTCCCGCTCCTTCTTCAGGATTTTCTTCTCAGGGCTGGAGGAGGCTAAGGCCACCTTGGCATATTTCCTGACCGTCGGCACCTGCATCTTCGGTGACGGCCTCTCTGGCACTTTTTGGGTGACAGCCACGGTTACATTCAGGAGGAAACATTCGTCAGGGTCATACTGGTTGCCTGTCTCCCGCAGCTCCCGGGCGTACTCCCCCAGGTTGTCCGAGTAGCTCTCCAGCTCCCGCAGGGACAGGTAGGTGGGGGACATCAGCAGGCTCTCCAGCCCAAACTGGAGGAAGTTCTCGGCCGAGCCGGCGTTCGGGAAGCCCAGGAAGAGGACGCCACGGCCACGGGAGAGGTAGCCCACCTTGGCAATGCGCGAGAAGGCCTTGTGCACCTCGGCATTCTCCCGGCAGAACTGCAGGACGTGGCGGCAGACACTGCCCACGCGCCCGTAGACACAGCTCTCCTTGTGTGTGTCCCAGTCCTCGCGGCGGCAGTGCCGGGAGCAGTAGTAGGTGTAGCAACTGTGGCACGACTTGAAGTAGAGGCAGGCGTTGAACATGGTCTCCGTCCGCCGGCACTTGGCGTTGGAGCACATCATCATGTCGTCCTCCTCCGCACTCAGGTCAGGCGAGCAGTTCTCTGGTGACTTCTCGAAGGGACCGACGGACAGTGGGGCAGGCTGGGGGCGCGGGGCGCTGGCACGGGAGCTGGGACCCGGCTGCTCCTTTGTGGGTCGGGGTCCCTCAGGCACGCCAGGGGGGACCCTCCTGCCCTCACCCCGCCGGGGGGGCCCCGGGGCGCTGCTGCTCAGAAGCTGCTTGAGTTGCTCAGCGAGGCTGTCCCTGTCCCCGGCACGATGGTCTGGTGCTGGCTTGTAGTCAATGACGAGGTCAGTGATGAGCTCGTCCAGCTGCTCCAGGCTGCGCTGGCGCCCCGAGCCGCTCTCCCTGGGGACGGGCTGTGGGGTGCAGGGCACGGCGTAGGGACCACGCTCTCGCCCCCCGTCCAGCACATCCCAGCTGGCCGAGCGCCTCTCGCTCCTGCCCAGCCCGTCGGCACGGATGTCGTTGTCGGTGATGGTGATCTCCGGTGTGACGTACCAGGAGCGGCCCAGGGGGCCTCGGCCACCATCAGCGTGCACCCTCTCAAGGATGGAGCTCTCCGAGAGGGACAGGGCAGCGTAGCGCTTGGGTGAGCTCGACAGGTTGATCACCACTGGCTGCCGGCGCTCCTCAGGGGATAAGGCACGGTGCTGCTCCTGGGCGAGCAGGTTCTCATAGCTGCGCCCGCGCTGCAGGACCTCCTCCCTGCGTGCCACCGGCGCCAGGATGTTATCCCAGGATTTGGAGTAGTGCTGGCTTTCCCGGCCCAGCCGCGGTGGGGTTACGCCATAGCTGGCATGCCAGGAGGAGACCATGGCCTCACGCCCAGGCGGTTGCGGGGCGAAGCGCGACACTTGCAAGGTCTGGTAGGGCAGCGCGCTCCGCTCAGGGCAGTACCAGTCACTGAAGTGCAAGGGCTGGGTGCTGCGGGGTGGAGGGCACGTCCGCGACAGCATCTCCCGCTCCCGGTACTTCCCGTAGTCCTCGGTGTAGAAGACCCGGGAAGAGGAGCCGAGGGCCGGGTACGTGCGGGCATCCTCGGCATAGAGGGTTTTGACAGGGGTGCCGCGGGGGGCATAAAAGCGGGGCTCATCCCCGTAGAAGGCACGGGCAGGCGCCTCCTGCACTGGGTAGCCCCGCGCCTCCTCCACGTACAACGTCCGGGGTGGCACCGTGTGGATGGCAGTTTTGGCTGGGTCCTCGGCGTAAAAGTGCTGGGGGATGGGATGGCGGCCGGGGTAGGGGTAGCTGGCATAGCCGGAGCTGCGGAGGGGCATGGCAGGGCTGGGGCACCGCACCGGCTCCTCTGCGTAGAAGAACTTGGCGGGGACGCCAGGGGCCGAGAAGGTCATGCAGCCCCTCTCGGGGTACTCCCTGAAGTCCCGCGAGGCCGGCACCGGCACCGTCTGGTATGCCAGCGCCCGGGGGTCAGCCTCGTAGTACTCGCTGGGGTAGGGCAGGAACGGGGGGTCTCCACTGTAGGAGTCGCTGGGGGTGGGCGTGCGGGACGCGGATGCCTGCCTGCTCCCTGGCACCGCCAGGCTGCGGGCAGCCCCAGGTGCACGGGGCCAGCGTGGCGGTTCCTGCCGGCTCTGGGCTGCCCGCAGGCTGCGTGCGGCATGCACCAGCACCGCCTCGTCCGGCTTGATGTCCACTCGGCACTTGACGTGGGGGCTGGCGCCCACCTTGGCGCCCGGCCCCTCCTCGAAGCAGTTGCTGCCCAGGCAGAGTGGGGAGATGCGGCTGATGCTGCTGCGCTGCGGCTGCAGCTTGATGGGGTGCACCTCGTTAGCCAGCGCCCGCAGGGGAACCTGGCTCTCGCGGCGCGGCGAGGGCTCGGGGCGGGAGGGCTCCCGGGCCACCCGCAGCGCCTCCCGCCCACGCCGGGCCGGCGGTGGCGACGCCGAGACACTGATTGGCACCGGGGTGAAGGTGGACTTCACCCGCGGTGCGCTCTTCGAGCGGGCACGTCGCTTCGGCTCGCTCCTTGGCAGTGGGGCTCTGCCAGCATAAGGGTCCGGCTTTGGTGGCACCCGCCTGCCCGGCAGCCCTGGTGTGGGCTCGGGGGTGCCAGGGCGCGGGCAGGGGCGCTCCATGGCCAGGGGGGTGCCCAGCTGCTCGTCCAGCGACTCGAGGAAGTCGAAGCTCCTGCAGTGGCGCTTGTTGAAGGGCTGCGGCTCGTGGGTCAGGGATGAGGACATGGAGGCGTCACATTGTGCCAAGGGCTGGCAGACAATCGAATCCCTGGGGGCTGCGGTGGCCACCTTTATGTCTTGGTACACCGTAGACACCAGGATGTCAGGTGGGTCTGTTCGTGTCATCTTAAAAGCGACTCTTCTCCCGCCAGCTCCCCTTCAGATGGCCTCAGAGGAAGGCAGCCAGCCCTGCAAGAGAACAGATAGGCGCCTAAATCCCGGCGGAGACTTCGGGGAGCCGCCATGGCACTGGATAAATCCCCACAGCTCCTGGCTTGAAGCAGGGGTTTGGCCACCTCTTCAGAAATGAGGGTTCAGGGGCATTCCAGCCTCTGCTGTTGCTGTTAATAGTCGGATCCCAACTGGGGGAAGAAGCTGGAAAGACTCCAAATCTGGGATGCAAATAATGGAGAGGATGGCAGGACAGCCATGGGTGCACTGGGCACCGCAGGGCAGCTGGGAGGGGTGCCAGCTCACCGCAGGGAGACGAGGCCACTGACCACCATGCCCCTGTTCCTCAGGTGCAGGACACAGGGACCCTCTTGCAGCATCGTGGGAAACGGCAGCTCTGAACAGGGCTGGGGCGGATTCAGCAGTAGGGTTTTCCATAGTGGATGGAGACAACATGCCCGGCCCTCCACTGTGAGCATCCAAGTGACTGTGGGGTCTCCTGGGACCACGTGCGCCCACGTCCCAGTGCTTGCTGTGCCCAGCACCAGCATTGTAGGCAGCACGGGCAGGAGCATCACCCAGGGATGGGCACCAGGAGCCTCCATCATGGCACCTGGGAAGCCCACGCAGCTCTGGGGCTCCAGCGGGGCAGGAGCTGCACTGCCTCCCTGTGGAAGCTGCACCCACCATGGCCCATGAACACCCCTGTGGGGTGTCAACAGTCCTGGCTGCTTGCAGCCGCATCGCTCCCTGGGGCTCCTCCAGACTGGCACAGGCAGCACCGGGGGCTGGCAGAGGGGTACTATGGCGGGTGCCCCAACCCCGTGTGCCAGCAGTGACTCCTCTATTGCTTCCCACAGCTCTGAGCAGGATAGACCAGAGCCCATCTGCAATAACTCTGTGCCGGAGGGGCTGTGCTGGCTCAGCACCCACCGGCTTTGTCCTCTCCCATATCCTGCAGCCACAACACATCTCCCAGGCTGGGGAGTGAGTGGGATGGCAGCTGCAGCTCCCAAGGGACACAGGGTCTGGCACCCACCATGCACCAGCATCGTGCACCCCACCTGCTCTGGGATGACGCTGCATTGGTGGCTGGGGTGGGCAGAATCCCCAGCCACATGCGTGACACTGCTGTGTGACAAGGGGGGTCATCAGCACAAGCCCTCCAGAGTGACTGGGGGAGCAGACGAGGTGGTTTGCCCACAGGACCTGGTGGATTGTGGCACTGATCTTCACCAACAGCCCATCGAGAGCCAGCTGCAGGTTACCATCGGTGCTGAGTGCCTGTACAACTGGCTTTGCCCATGGCAGCGATACCCGGCCAGCTTTAAAATTCATCACATCCTGTAAGGGTTTGTGTTTTTGGCCACCTGGTCAAGGGGCCCAGGAGCTCAGGCGGGCACCAGCTGCTCCACAATACACTAAAAGTGCATGGCAAAGGCCAGCAAAAGGCATTTGGCTTTAAACAGCAGCAGAGGACCACAGGGAAGGTATTTCTGGGAGGAAAGGAATAGACTTTATTTGGCAAGCAGTATTGACTATGCAGTGATGGGGAGGGAGACTTGGGTTCCCCCTTGTTACCTGGATAAAGCCCTGGCTCACCCCGAAGCCAAGGGTGGGGGACGGATGTTGGAGCTGAGGTGAAGCCAATGGGGTTGGGGTGTCTGTCCCTGGAGTGGGCTGGGGAGAGCTTGGTGCCAGGAGAAGATGGGGATCCCAGTGTCTCCAGGGCTGGGGGAGCAGGTTTGCCCTTGTAGCAGTGGCTCAGCATCAGCCCCGCTGCATTACAATGCTTGGGAGCTGGGCCAGATCTGGGAAGGCAGCACCCCATGGTGCAGTGATGCCAACAGCAGTGTTGGGAAGCCCATCCCCATGGTGTCAGGGCTGCTAGTGGGCAGGGAATTGCAGCCCAGGGTCCTACCTGGTCTGGCAGCAGCAGGGAGGGGGTGGGTGGGCTGAACTGGCCCAGGGCCCCGCGGTGGCTCCATCCTAGCACTGCAAAATAAAAAAGGCATGTGAGGATCCCAGGAAAGCTCTGGCCATGGCAGAGGGGTGGCTGCTGGGGCCATGGGGTGCCTTGGTGGGGAGATCGAGCACCCCGAGAGACCCCTACAGCTGCAGCCCTGCTGAGCCAAACCAAACCATAGCCCAGCGAGGCCACCGTGTGCACCCCTGTGCCCTGGGGACATGGGCACTGCATCCCACGGGCACTGGCATGCCCCCCCCACCCACCACAGCAGCGCCCCACTGCCCACAGAGCCGCGTGAGGCCATGGCAGTGCGGGGACCCGGGGACAGCTCGGTGCCGGCATCCCCAGCGCTGCCCGGGGTTGCCATGGTTTCGCCGAATTATTCCTCCTCTGCGAGGACAGCATGGGTGCGTGGGGAGGCTGCTGGGGCGGCGGTGCTGCAGGGGGCCGGGGGGAGTCAGGGCTTTGCAGCACCACAGGGAGAGCAGAGCACCTGCAAAGCCGTGGGCATCCTCTGTCCATCGGGGGGGGCAGAGCTGGGATGGCCCGCCAACACTGCTGGTGCCCAGTTCTACCACGCTCCCACACCCCACCTGTCCCCGACACTGAGTCCCCTCCACAGGGAGAGGATTTGGCATCCCCTCTGCTCTTTGACCCCCCCCGGGTGGTGGGCACCAGATGCCCCGCTTCACCCCCAGACCTGCCTGCTTTTGGCAGGCACCAGTCTCCCTGCCCAGGGTCTCCACGCTCTGTCACCCTGGGGATGCTGACACCAGCCGGCAGTGCTTTCAGGGCTGCTGATGTCCACTGAGCTCCCCACACCCAAGCCACCCCCCCCGGGGGCACAAGGCCCCTGGGGAAACAGCCAGCCCCATGCTCACATCTCCAGCCTGGGGAAGGGCCCAGACGGTTTGTCGCAGAGCCCCCGTGCCCACACTGCTGGGCAGGACACAAAGACACCTCTGCCCACCCTGTCCCCGGCACAGCAGCTCCACTCTGGCACACCCAAAGCATTGCCAAGGGGCACCCAGTGGGACCCCCCCCCCCATGCCAGCCCACAGCTCAACCTGTCACCGCTGTGGAGGCCAGTGCCACCCACATGCCTCCACCCTGCTCAGCACCCAGCCCTGTGCCTGCCACTGCCTGTGGGCCCTACCTGCAGTCAGGGGCTGCCCTCGTTCCCTGCCCAGCACCCCACGCCGCCCAGCACGCTGCTCCCACCATGCCACACGTGAGCACCTGGCCTCCCGCAGCTCTGGCCTGTGGGAGCAGCATCAGGGTGCTGGGAGCGGGAGCAACCCCAGGCTGTTGGAGGGGCCCGCGGGAAGCTGCCGGGAACTGGGTCACTGCCTGCATGCAGCACGTGCGGGCTGTGCAGTGCCCTGCCAGTGTGTACCACACTGCCCAGGCACTGCAGCAGCCTGCCTGTGCACTGCCTCCCTGCTGCCTGCCCCATGCCCACGGTGAGGGTGCTGCCTGCCTGCTCTGCACTGAGCGCTCTGCCAGGGCACTGCCTGCAGCCTGCCCTCATGCTGCCTGCACGCTGCACAGAGCACGTTACCAGGGCACTGCCCCATGCACTGGCAGCTTGCTTGCCCCCACACTGGCTGTGCATTGCCCCAAGCCACCTGCACACACCGCCCTGCCAGTGTGCTGCCCCACGGCCTGCCCATGATGCACTGAGCAGCACCAGGGCGCTGCCAGCTTGCTGCCTGCCCCATGCGCACATCAAAGGTGCTGCCTGCACACACTGCACTGAGCACACTGCCAGTGCGCTGCCCCGTGCACGCTGCCTGGGCATTCCGCACACGCTGCCTGCACACATCCTGCTGAGCAGATGGGCAGCACGTTGCCCACCTCAGTGTTGCCTGGGCACGCTGCACCGGGTACCCTGCCAGCACACTGCCTACACATGCAGCGCGCTGAGCATGCTGCCACTGCACCACCCCGTAGGCAGCCCAAGCAGGCTGCCAGCGCATGCTGCGCTGCACTGAGCTCACTGCCAGCATGCCGGCAGCACCTGCGCTGCCCCGAGCATGCCAGCGGTGCCCACATCTGGAAACACGGCCAGGGCAGCATCTCACGTGCACTGTGACCGCTGTGCTCGTGCAGACGACGCTGGAGGTACCACTGGCGCACTGCCGCGGGTGCAGTGACTGCGCACACGCTGCGCCATGGGCACTGCCAGCCCACAGGCCCACTGCGCGCAGGCCTGCGCGCTCTGGGAGGGCGCTGACAGCCAACGCTGCCTGTGCACACACTGTCCGGGCACTGCCTGCAGCAAGGGAATCCACTGCCCCCGCCCCGGCCCCTGCCCCGTGTATGTGGCAAACAGACGCTTCCCCCTCTGTGCCAGCCCCAGAGCACCGCAACACACACAGTGCCCTGTGCACCTACAGCGTTGCCCCCCCCATGCACATCGCACTGCCCCTCTACACACCCCCCTGTGCCCCCCCCAGCCCTG